TCACTCCTTTTTTTTTTTTTTTTTTTTTAATTACACACGTTAATTATCAGGGATGCCGAATATTTTTATACAAACATTGCCTTCTAGGTCGTAACAGTGGTGATAAGGTAAGTTTCGCGCATCTACGAATTTACAGTATACCGGGTGGGTCGCTAATTGTTTTCTTCAGCTACGGTGGTGGAAGAAAATTTTGCGACGTAATTTAACACGTTAAGCGCCAAGCCTGTTTTGTCTTCCTCTCTGTTTAGCCCGCGATTTCCGATTTCACCGATACGCTGGCGGCCGGAGATCTGCGTAAGGTTGCGATAAGACTGCATGTGTTTTGATAATACTCGTTAAAATTTTATGTTTTTGGTAACAAGTAATAGTTAGGTACATTCTTTTATGATCTCCAAATTATTAAAATTTATTAACAGAAGAATTTTCATTTTTTAAATTGTATATCGTCAGTCAACAGTGACTGACGCGGCCCGAACGAAAAGTATACTGTCACTCACCGGTGACTGACATGGCGCTTAACGTGTTAAACGGTGTCGAAAGGTGAACGAGGTGGAGGAAAATTTTTTTATTTCACGATTACCTGTGCCCTTTTCACATGAATGCGTATGTTTTATTCTACTGTACGTTATAGCAGACGTAAATAATGATACGAGCCTTGGATTCTAAAATTTTAAATCAAACGTGAAACCTCCTTTAATTTTTTGCAATATTTTTTATTCGCAAAATTTGCCTTCCGCCTCATTTATCCTTCAACCCTTTGGCTACGGCAAATTTTAGTACACAACGCGCGTGGCAAATTCAAACATTCCACAACGGCCGCAAACTTTCTTTTTCAGCCGTGTCATTTTAAAATTTCTTTCACTGAATTGACGTGGAAGAGTGCAGAGGATCAAATTAACGCTTGAATTGACGTAGGAGTGCGCCAAAAGGCTCCAATAGCACGATTAAGACCGCTTAAATTATGTATCAAAATTTTGTCGCACCACTGTACGCTATGGTGGTAGAAGAAAATTTTTATACATAACTTAAATGGTGCCAAAAAAAGGATAAGATGGAAGAAAATTTTCTTTTTCACATGAATGGATATATTTTATTCTACTGTACGCTGTAGCAGACATTAATGTGAATTTAAACGTAAACAACGATACGAGCCTTGGACTCCAAAATTTTAAATCAAACGTGAAACCTTCTTTCATTTTCTGCCACTTTTTCCATTAAAAAAAATTTGTTTTCCATCTTATTCACCCTTTAAGACCATTTAAATTATGTATAAAAATTTTGTCGCACACCATAAAAAATAACTAGGTGACCTGTTTCACGTGGCCCGCAATGATCTTCTTTCTTCCTGCAAAACTTACGATTAAATCCCTCGACTCGTTGATACGTAAATCTAGTATACATACTCGAGTTAGTTCATCTGTTCCTCTAAAATTGCTAGAAAAAGTAATAACCCTACTTGAAGTCATACGAACGATACAAACGTCCTGCAAGTCTAACGAAATAAAATGATAATCAATCGAGTCCATGGAGCTATCGATATTCACAGCTTACGTGAACAGCACTTGGTCTCTTAAGAAAAACGGAGAAAAAAAGGAAATCTTATGTTTAAGTGTAGTAACGTGTAATAATACACGCGAGCGTAAACGTTATCTGCATACAATCTACGTGTGTTTTCTATTTAAAGAAAATAGTACACAGCATGCGATTCTAGTACAAGGGAAAAAAGTGTAAAACCAAGAATTAATTGCAAAACATCTTTATTCGATCGATCGAGAACACATGATAACTCGTGTAAACGAACTAAATTGAAAATAGAAAATAGAGAGAATAAAGTAAAGGAAAAAATATATAGAACGATAATTTCCATTCCGTGACGGAACGCTGAAAATATGCGTTGCACAAAGCGTTTGCAAAGGACCGTGGAAACCGGAAACCCTCGAAAGTCCTTCGTCGCGAACGAATACGCGACAACTTGGCCTATTTTGCGAACGATAAATTCATGGTTAATGTAAATCGCGTGGAGAATGTTAAAGGGGAGAGAAAAAAATTGAAGGAACGGTGTAATCGTCAGCAAGACAGAAGAAACGGTTAAGTAGAGCAACGAAGCTGATCAAAGATTAGGGACGCTACGTGTCGCCTTCGAGAGGCGCCAACTATTCTAAATTCCCGGTCGAACCCAATTTAACAATCAGATTCGTCCGTATCCACGGATTTAACCTCTAGTTATTGCTTTGTAATACACGTGGCTTAAGGCGAAAACAAAATCTTAACTGGAGTTTCATCTGCATGCTCTTTACGGTCGAGGTATAGTCGGAGGAAGAAATGTAGCGAGATTGAAAAATTAAACGAATGTCGAATTAAATTGACCGAATCGAAGCCAACATTTTTCATGCAACCCTAATTGAGATTTCGAGCTCTTAGTTTTTCGGTTTCTTTCGATACAGTCGAACATCCTTCGAGCTCTTATCTTTTAGGTTTCTTTCGATATACTCGAACATGTTTCAAGCTCTCACATTTTTAATTATATTAATTATAGGCAATTTTTAATATTTCTTCCTTCGACTATACTTCGCCATTGATCGACATAACGCATTTATATCGAACACTCAGGGATAAAATTATATTGACGTATCGTATCGATATACATATGCATATACGTATATATATATATGTTAACGCATATAAGCTTAATCTTATATGTAGTCGACGCAGTTCCGCGTATCTTATCTCATTGAACGATCTTCGTGAAATAAATATCGAACGACGCGAGTTCATCACAGCCCGCAATTTAGCTTAGATCTAATTCCATCGAATCGGTGCCTGGGTATACTTAAACTCCGGTTTAAAAAAGAAAACGAAACATTTTTGCAAGAAAAAAAAAGCAACTAATTTCCCAAGACCTTCGGATATTTTTCACAGTAAAAACGGGGAGAATTTTTTCGAACGATTGTTAATTAGAAACGACTGGCATATAGAACTTGTGCTTCTGCGTGTCCCTGGTATGTTTAAAAGGCGTTTGTTTCGCCTCGATCAGAGTTGCTGGACAAGGTCCTTTGTGTCTCGGCGCGTACTCTTTCTTGTACATGCTCGAAGTCACCGTACTTCCATCGCCCAAATTGATATGGGACACGTTCGCCTGTTTGTGAACACGTTCGACCTTCTGGCTCGTGAAATTCCCATAATTCTTCGCCTCGCTGTGCGAGTAAAACTTCCCTCCGACCGTCAGATTGTCCCGTCTGACGATTCTCTGAGGACGTTCGTACGTCGAAGACGCCCAAGGATTCACGTCCTTCGTGCTGCGATGCAAAGAGGTCAAACTTCGTCTGTCGCTGCTCTGGCTCGAGTTGCTGATGTACTGACCGCTCTCCGCCAAGTTGGAAATGCTCTTCTTCTGATCTGCGGCCGTCGAAGAAATCGTGTGAAGAGCCTCTGTCGACGAAGTAACTCCGCGTCTGTGGAGAACCGAATTGGTAACGTCAGCAGACGACGAAGAGATTATATTCTTCCTGTGATGGCTGGTCTTCGTGATCGCGGTCTCCATCGACTGACCACTCATCGCTTGCTTGAACTCAGCGCTGCTCGCCTGATTCGAATTGTAACGAGCCTGACTGGAAATCGTGTGCTGCTCGTGCTGTTGTTTCTGTCTGGTAGCAGATTGCCTAGACTCCACGTGGTGAGTGTTCACGTAGTCACGCTTAGCAGATTCTTGGTGATGTTTCTCTAATTGTTTCTGCTGTTGATCGCTGTATCTACCGTCTACCACGTAGGTTCTGTTGTGAACGTCAGCGACAGACCTGTCGTCGACGACTCTTCGCGTCTGCGATCTCGTATGCTGCTCGCTCGAATGTACTCTTTGATTATGCTCGTTTATGTACTGTTGACTACCCGAGACAGGCGTCAAGGACCGTCTCGACTCCTGCGGACTCGGTCCGTCGGGTTGTATGGCACGATGATCGGTTATCACACGTTGAGAGTGTACATTCTGAGCGGAGGAGATCCTCTCTCCGGTGGTTTTCTTCAGAGTGGTGACCACCGGACCGTTCTCCAGCGTCTTCGACTCTGCAGAGACGTTTCTTCTGCTGTCTGACTCCATGCTGCTGATCTTCGCGGCGACTTCCTTGGCAGTGCGTTTGGTGAACGTGTTGTAGTTCCTCTGAGTGGTGGTGGACATCGTCGTAACGTCGTCTCCAAGAGTAATCGAGGACTCCATGTGACGTCTGCGACTGACAGGTTTGCCAGCCGGAGAATCTTCGTTTTTAGTCGGCGTGAACATGTCTCTGTTGGTCGTCTTCGTCTCCATAGCGCCGGTGCTCACCTTGAGATTGTCCTCGTGGCGCTTGATCTCCGCGCGTTCTCCACGAACCACCGTGTAAGTGGATCTCTGCGAAGTGGTGTCCTGAAACTCGCCAGTCATCTTGAGATTGTCCTCTCTGCGAATCACTTCGGCTCGCTCGCCTCTCTTCGACGTGAAATCGTCGCGAGCTCTCCCGATGAAGTCTCCTTCCGGCTTCAAGTTGTCCGTCTGACGAATAGGAGATCTGCGCTCGATCGGACCAACTTTCTCTGGAGTTCTACGCTCGAAATCGCCTTCTGGTTTCAAGTTGTCAGGATGTTTGATGGGAGACCTTCTCTCTCCTGGTCCCAGAGGAGACTTCTGAGGCCTGTCGAACTCTCCTTCGGACCGCAGATTGTCCGGATACTTCTTCGCCGGAGTACGTTCGACGACCACATGAGCGTAGTCGTCCTTGCGACGCACGTCGATGAACTCTCCTTCTATCTTGAGGTTATCCTCGCGTTTCCTAACGTCCACTCTCTCTACTTTGGTGATCTTCTTGTAATCGTCTCTGGATCGTCGGATGTCTATCTCTCCTTCCATCTTCAGGTGGTCCTCGTGACGACGAACCTCCACTCGATCTCCGTTCACGTATCTGTAATCGTCCTTGGGAGTGACGTCCATTTCTCCTTCCGGCTTCAGGTTGTCCTGAGGCTTCCTGACCGGCGCTCTCTCGCCTCTCTTAGGAGTGAAATCGTCTTTAGGTACTATGTAGAAGTCCCCTTCTAGGTGAAGATTGTCCTCGTGGCGAATGGGAGTTCGTCTCTCGGCTGGACCAACTTTCTGCGGTGTTCTCTTAGCGAATTCACCCTCGGGATGCAAATTGTCCTTGGGTCTCTTCACGTCGGCGCGTTCTCCTCTGGTCGGCGTCTCCTGTCGAGGTCTTCCGGTGAATTCTCCCTCAGGATGCAGGTTGTCAGGGTGTTTGATCGGCGAACGTCTCTCTGCTGGGCCAACGGGAGACTTCTCAGGCCTCTCGAAGTCTCCCTCGGTTCTCAGGTTGTCCTTAGGCTTCTTCGCTACAGCTCTGTCGCCTTTCGTAGGCGTTGGCGCCTTTGGACGTTGCGCGAATTGACCTTCAGGCTTGAGATTGTCGGGATGCTTGATGGGAGTCCTTCTTTCAGCTGGTCCAACGGGAGATTTCTCCGGTCTCTCGAAGTCTCCCTCGGTTTTCAGGTTGTCTTCGTGTCGAACGATCTCGCTGCGCTCTCCACGAGTCGCTCTGTAGTCGTCGCGTCTTCTGATGTCCACGAACTCTCCCTCCATCCGCAAATTATCCTCTCGGCGAACCACGTCCACTCGCTCGACCTTGGTGATCGTTCTGTAGTCGTCTCTCGATCGACGAACGTCGATGTCGCCTTCCATCTTCAAGTTGTCTCTGTGGATCACTATCTCCGTCCTCTCGCCCTTCGTTGGCTTGTAGTCGTCCTTAGGCCTGCCGGTGAACTCTCCTTCGGGCTTCAGATTGTCCTTAGGCTTCTTCTGGACTGGTCTGTCGGCGCGTTTCGGCGTGAAGTCGTCCTTAGGTCGTCCCACGAATTCTCCTTCGAGGTGGAGATTATCCTCGTGACGTATGGGCGTTCTCCTCTCAGCTGGTCCAACAGGAGACTTCTGCGGCCTCTGGAACTCTCCTTCGGAACGTAGATTGTCCTTGGGCCTGGTCACGTCAGCCCTTTCGCCTCTGAGAGGCGCTTCTTCTTTAGGACGGCCTACAAATTCTCCCTCTGTTTTTAGATTGTCCGGGTGTTTGATCGGACTCCTCCTCTCTGCAGGACCGAAGGGTTTCTTCTCCGGTCTCTCGAAGGTTCCTTCAGGCTTCAAATTGTCCTTAGGCTTCTTCACGTCAGCTCTTTCGCCCTTCTTCGGCGCTTGTTCCTTCGGACGGCCGATGAACTCGCCTTCCGGCTTCAAGTTATCGTCGTGTTTAATCGGAGAACGTCTCTCTGCCGGTCCGTAAGATTTCTTCTCAGGTCTCTCGAACTCTCCTTCAGATTTCAAGTTGTCCTCGGGTTTCTTCATCTCCGGTCTCTCTGTTTTCTTAGGCGAGTAATCGTCCTTAGGACGACCCTCGAACGGACCCTCCTGCCTCAAGTTATCTTTGTGTCTCACAACTTCCACGCGTTCTCCTTTCACGACCTTGAAATCGTCCCTCGTTCGAACGTCGGTAAATTCTCCTTCCATGCGCAAATTGTCCCGGTACTTGGTCACTTCTGCTCTCTCGCGAATTATGAAGTCTGTGTACTCGTCTCTGGATCTGTAAGTCTCGATGTTGCCTTCCATTCGTAGGTTATCCGTTCGTTTGACGATGTCCGCTCGTTCGCCACGAACTGGGACGAAGTCGTCCTTCGGACGTCCTTCGAAGGGTCCTTCGGGTTTCAAATTATCCTCAGGCCTCTTCACGTCGGCTCGTTCTCCTCTCGTGGGCTTGTAATCGTCCTTGGGTCTCCCGACGAACTCTCCCTCCGGCTTCAGGTTGTCGGGGTGTTTGATAGGCGTTCGTTTCTCGGCAGGTCTGACAGGAGACTTCTCAGGACGCTCGAAGTCGCCTTCGGAGCGAAGATTGTCTTGCGGTCTCTTGACATCCGCGCGTTCTCCACGTTTCGGAGCCTCTTCCTTCGGTTTTCCAACAAAGTCGCCTTCGGTCTTCAGGTTGTCCGGATGTTTGATAGGCGTTCTTCTCTCCGCGGGACCGAACTTCTCGGGACGAGGACGTTCGAAGTCTCCTTCCGGCTTCAAGTTGTCCTTAGGCTTCTTCACTTCAGGCCTCTCGGCTGGTCTGAATTCCTCGCGCTGTGGCCTCGTGAAATCTCCTTCGGAGCGAAGGTTGTCGGGATGTTTGATAGGAGTGCGTCTCTCAGCCGGGCCGAAAGGCGTTTTCTCCGGAACCTCGAACTCTCCTTCAGGATAGAGATTATCCTTAGGTTTCTTCACGTCAGCCCTTTCGCCTTTTCTAGGAGTCTCTTCCTTCGGCCGGCCAACGAAGTCTCCTTCCGGTTTCAGATTGTCGGTTGGTTTCTTGACAACCGGTCTCTCAGCTGGTCTGAACTCTTCTGGCTTAGGTCTCTCGAATTCTCCCTCGGGATACAAGTTATCAGCGTGTTTGATGGGAGTCCTCTTCTCAGCAGGGCCATACGGTTTCTTCTCAGGCCTCTCGAACTCTCCTTCGGATCGCAAGTTGTCCTTGGGCTTCTTGATCGGAGCTCTTTCGCCCTGTTTAGGCGCTTCTTCCTTCGGTCTGCCGATGAACTCTCCTTCGAGCTTCAGATTATCCTCCGGTCTCTTCACTTCCGGTCTATCCGCTCTCTTAGGAGAATAATCGTCCTTTGGACGACCTTCGAAGGGTCCCTCAGGCTTCAAGTTATCAGGATGCTTCACAATATCCACTCGTTCACCTCTCACGACTTTGAAATCGTCTCTAGTTCTCACATCCGTGAATTCCCCTTCCATTCGTAAATTGTCCTGGTACTTGGTCACTTCCGTTCTCTCGCGGATCAGGAAGTCCGAGTACTCGTCTCTAGACCTATACGTCTCGATGTCTCCTTCCATTCGAAGGTTGTCCGTGCGCTTCACTATTTCCACTCGTTCTCCGCGAACGGGTTGATAATCGTCCTTAGGTCGACCTTCGAAGGGTCCTTCCGGTCTGAGATTGTCCTCGGGTCTCTTGACGACAGCTCTGTCACCTTTGGTAGGCGTGAAATCATCCTTGGGTTTACCAACGAAGTCTCCTTCAGGTTTCAGATTGTCCGGATGTTTAATCGGCGTTCTTCTCTCCGCAGGACCGAACTTCTCGGGACGAGGACGTTCGAAGTCTCCTTCCGGCTTCAGGTTATCCTTAGGCTTCTTGACTTCAGGCCTCTCGGCTGGACGATACTCTTCGTGGTCAGGTCGCTCGAAGTCTCCTTCGGAGCGGAGGTTATCGGGATGTTTGATCGGAGTACGTCTCTCAGCTGGACCGAACTTAGGCTTCTCTGGTCTCTCGAATTCACCTTCAGGGTAGAGATTGTCCTGAGGTTTGCGCACTTCAGGTCGTTCGGCACTCTTCGGAGAGAAGTCGTCCTTTGGACGACCTTCGAACGGTCCCTCCGGTCTCAAATTATCCTCAGGACGTTTCACATCAGCCCTCTCTCCTCTGGTTGGCATGTAATCGTCCTTAGGACGTCCTTCGAATGGTCCTTCGGGTCTCAGATTATCCTGAGGTCGCTTCACTTCCGGACGTTCCGCAACTTTCGGCGAGAAATCGTCCTTAGGACGTCCTTCGAACGGTCCCTCCGGTCTCAAATTATCCTCAGGACGTTTCACATCGGCGCGTTCGCCTCTAGTTGGTTTGTAATCGTCCTTGGGTCTTCCTTCGAACGGTCCCTCTGGTTTCAAGTTGTCCCGAGGTCGCTTCATCTCTGGACGCTCTGCTCTCTTAGGCGAAAAGTCGTCCTTAGGACGTCCTTCGAACGGTCCTTCTGGTTTCAAATTGTCCTCAGGACGTTTCACGTCTGCGCGTTCACCTCTGGTTGGTTTATAGTCGTCCTTTGGACGTCCCTCGAACGGTCCTTCGGGACGAAGGTTGTCGTCGTGCTTGATAGGTGTTCTACGCTCTGCTGGAGTGAACGCTGCACGCTCTCTGTCTAGGAAGTCACCTTCGGGGAAGAGGTTGTCGGGGTGTCTCACGATTGGCGCCCATTCGCTGGGACCGTAGTAAGGCATGGGTGTTGGTCTCTCGAATTCTCCTTCAGGATACAAGTTGTCAGCGTGTTTAATAGGCGTACGTCTTTCTCCAGGGGTGTAGACATCCCTAGGACGTCCTTCGAATGGTCCTTCAGGTTTCAAATTATCCTGTGGCCGCTTTGCTTCTGGTCGTTCGGCTGTTTTCGGTGAGAAATCGTCCTTTGGACGACCTTCGAACGGCCCTTCAGGTCTTAAATTATCCTGTGGTCTCTTTACCTCCGGACGTTCCGCTGTTTTCGGTGAGAAATCATCCTTGGGGCGACCTTCGAATGGTCCTTCGGGTCTTAGATTATCTTGCGGCCGCTTTACTTCCGGTCTTTCAGCGGTTTTTCGAGTGAAATCGTCCTTAGGACGACCTTCGAACGGCCCTTCCGGTCTTAGATTATCTTGAGGCCTCTTTACTTCCGGACGTTCTGCGGTTTTGGGAGCAAAATCATCCCTAGGACGACCTTCGAACGGTCCTTCGGGTCTCAAATTATCTTCAGGCCGTTTCACATCAGCTCTCTCTCCTCTGGTTGGCATATAATCATCCTTAGGACGTCCTTCGAAGGGTCCTTCAGGCCTGAGATTGTCCTGTGGCCTCTTTACTTCCGGACGTTCTGCAGTTTTCGGCGTGAAATCATCCTTAGGACGTCCTTCGAATGGACCTTCGGGTCTTAGATTGTCTTCAGGCCGTTTCACGTCAGCTCTTTCTCCCCTAGTTGGCACATAGTCGTCCTTAGGCCTCCCTTCAAACGGTCCTTCAGGCCTGAGATTATCCCGTGGCCTCTTTACTTCCGGTCGCTCCGCAGTTTTCGGCGTGAAATCGTCCTTAGGCCTACCTTCGAACGGTCCCTCTGGTCTCAAATTATCTTCAGGCCGTTTCACATCGGCTCTCTCGCCTCTAGTAGGCATATAGTCATCTTTAGGCCGTCCTTCGAATGGTCCCTCCGGTCTCAAATTATCTTCAGGCCTCTTCACTTCGGGTCTATCTGCTCTCTTAGGCGAATAATCATCCTTGGGACGTCCCTCGAAAGGTCCTTCTGGTCTCAAATTATCCTGAGGTCTCTTCACATCGGCTCTCTCGCCCCTAGTAGGCATATAGTCATCCTTAGGCCTACCTTCGAACGGTCCCTCTGGTCTCAAGTTATCCTCAGGCCTCTTCACTTCCGGTCTATCCGCTTTCTTAGGCGAATAATCATCCTTGGGGCGTCCTTCAAACGGTCCCTCTGGTCTCAAGTTATCCTGAGGTCTCTTCACATCGGCTCTCTCGCCCCAAGTTGGTTTATAATCGTCCTTAGGCCTTCCCTCAAACGGCCCCTCCGGCTTCAAGTTATCCTTAGGTCTCTGTGGCTCTGGCCTCCTAGTTAAAGCAGGCACAACGTAGTCGTCCTTCGTACGAGGCACTCCTTCGAATGGTCCCTCTGGTCTCAGGTTGTCGTCACGTCTGATCACCGCTGTGCTTCTGTAATCAGTCTGATCGAAGCTTCGGTACTGTTCCTGGGTAGTTGTAGTGCTCTCGACGATATCTTGTTTGCTGTAGAAACGATCGTCTTCGTCTGTATTGGTTAGCCGACGTCGAGGTAGCTGCCTGTCGACCATGTCGTACGTGTGGAAATCCTCCTTGAGATGAGAGGTACCCTGTAGCAGATTTCGCCTTCGATAAACGATCGATGTTACCGAAATAGCAGTAACTGGGGCAAGTTGACGGCTTCTCGAACTGGCGTATAGATATTTTCTTTCTTTCTTCGTTTTTTAAAGTACTTACCGTGAATTCACCCTCTCCCACGGTGAGGTTATCCGTACGTTTGATAATCTCTGCGCGTTGGACAGTGCGATGATCAATGTACTCGGATCTTGAGGTGGTCGAGTCGAGGAATTCACCTTCCACTTTGGTGTAGGTGTTGCGACGCACAGGGCCTGGACGTTCGCCGGGAGTTCCGGTGAACACCAGCTCTGTGGTGGTTGTACCTGTACAAAAATTGAGTAAACGCGTGAGAGTTCTGAAAAGATTTTCCGTGCAGTTAGTTAAGAAAAATATTCCTCGGGATAACATTTGTGACCACAAAAATTGAACGAAAGTGTAAGATATACCGAAGAGATTTCCAGTACAGTTAGTAAAGAAGAAAATTTCTCAGAGTAACACGAAATTAAGTGATTCGTAGTGCGTTAAAAATTCTACGATTTTCAGTGGAGCTAGTAAAAAGAAATATTCCTCAAAATAATATTCGTAAGATTTCTGAAGAAATTCAAAGGGATCGCTTGAAATGCTTAATCAAAAAATTCTACGATTTCCAGAAAGTAGAACGCACTGTCGAATTCCCCCTCAGGTCGGAGATTATCCTGCGGTCTCCTAACAGGTGCACGGTCGCCATATTTCGGCGCTTCCTCCTTCGGTCTGCCGATGAAATCACCCTCCGGTTTCAAGTTGTCCTGAGGTTTCCTCACCGGTGCCCTTTCGCCCCTTGTCGCCACGTAATCTGTCCGCCTCTCTCCGATGAATTCTCCTTCCATGCGAAGATGATCCTCGTGATGGTAGATCGTCTGCTTGTCAACATGCTTCGCGTCGAATTCCTCACGATAGGAGGACACCGCATGGACTGGCTCGTTCCGAGGGATCTCCAGGTGATCTTGGGGTAAATTATGCGGGCAACGATGTCGTCTGAAAGATTCGCAAGTGAAAAATAATATAATCAACGAGTTCTGAGAAAAGTGAAAGAAACAGCAGTTGGACTAACGTTAACCTTTCTCGCTAATCCTCGCAAAAACACGTAATCCTATATACTGGGTGTCCTACTTTTCTTTGATCAAACTTTGTCAGTATCTTCTACGGGTTGAAATTAGAAAAAAATGTTATACAAACATAGGTCTTTTGAAGCTTTATTAAAAAGTTACGGCAATAATAGGAAATTAAGGGAACAGTAGCAGAATCACGGTTACTGCGATGTACATAATACAGAAATAAAATATAAAATAAAATAAATTCTAATAATAAATACTAAATCTACTTTTATTATTCAGGAATAGGAAAAAAATATTTACAATTTAGTTTTCTAACTGTTAAAAAATACTAATACATTGCCTGAGGCTTCCTTTGCAATAACAATTTATCGCGTATGAGTCGCTTAGAAATGAACGTCTGCGCTATTAAAATATGTCTTACGCGCCAACGTAGGTAAGAGGACAAGGCGACCAAATAATTTTTAGTTTTCCATCCTTTTATCAGCGTGTTACATTATCGACAGCTGACTTAATTTCGTTTGTCTAAACCATTTACCTACAACGCAACGTCCCCTCAAGGGCCTGCAGCGCAAGACCCAAGAGTAGTGGGGATGACCTGAACCGTCTATTTTGCCTCCATTTTGCTAGGCTGTGACGTCAGAGGCTTCACTTTAGGTTTGTCGGACAGTACGTTCACGTAACATTTCTCTCTTCTGCCCATAGAACACACGGACGAAGTTTGATCCGGAAAAATTGGGACACCCGGTATGTACAATTTCTGGTCAAATCTAAGGCAGGAATCTCCTAAGTAGCCTTATTCACGAGTCAGCTAGAAGGCCGAGCGAACGAAACGCAGTTTTCTTTCCCCATTTTTCCCTCCCTTTCGTAAACAACCGCAAAAGCTAATTGGTGGACAAAACTGATTTCGCCACGGTTCGCGAATATTCATGCAACTCGACCGCCGGCAGAGATTATCGGCTCTTCGGCCCATTGATAAACTGGCCGGTGTTGCAGCCGTGTGGACGTCACTCTAGTCACGCATGTGATTATCGTCGTACACGAGTTGCATGTTCGTTGTTCACGATCACTTTGTTAGATCTCGTGCGCACGGCCGCCGTTCATTTGGCTAAGTAATTGGAATACGATTCGAAATGAGGGATTAAATCGTTCGCGTTTGTCGCCTCTGGAAAAAGAAAGAAAGGAATAGAGAAAAATCTGAATCTCGTCGTTCTCCCGTTTTACCGTCGCGAATCAACCGTACTTTGTTCCATTTAAACGGTCGTTCCACGCAACGAGGCAGAGATTACAGAAACACGACCTTGATGAGTCGTTTAGCAGGTTGTCCAGCTGCGACCGGAGCTGTTTACCGCTCTAAATGTAATCTTCTTATCGACCGATGGTAATCTATCACGTGTGTGGTATATTAACGAAGAATTCATTGTAAGGATTTGTGTACGTATATAGCTCGGTTCAATGTTCGTTTCTGTGAATTTTCAGGTTGGGAGACGCGCCGTGTCAGGTTTTAATAAGCTTCCGATTTACACGGCGATGTTACCGAATAACGCTGACACGATGTATTTATTGTTCCAGGATGCAGTAATTGGTAATTAACTAAGCGAGGAAACATCGATACAGTTCCACGACCGTGATACCGTAATCTCCATGTCAATTAGGGAGAGAGTGTGACCCGTCAAAACGCCAACGTGATTCTCTTCCATCCCCTAGCGGGCGTTTAATATCGACGACAAAATCGACTACTAAAAATGTATAGCTTTTGAGGCTTCAAATATACGTGGGTGTGATACGTTTTGGAAATAATAGCGAGAATTTTTTTTTAATTTAGTGCGATTTCAATTTAGAAATTTAGGTTATTTTAAAATAGGATTAAGATCTTTTTCTTTTAGATTGCAAATTCTTCACCAATTTTTCGAAACGCTCTCAGATGTTTTGTTTCAATATAAAAACGGGAATTTGTAGCATTTAGTGTGATTTCAATTTGAAATTTCGAAGAACGATTTTCATCATTTTGAAATAGGAATAGGATCGATCTTTTTTTTTTTTAGATTACAAATTCTTTATCAATTTTTCTAATCTCTCTCAGACATTTTGTACAGGTAGTTTCGTTTCGAAATAATAGCGAGGATTTTTAACATTTGGTATAATTTCAATTTGAAATTTCGAAGAACGATTTTCATCATTTTAAAATAGGAATAAGATCACTTTTTTTTAGATTATACATTTTTTCCCAATTTTTCTAATCTCGCTCAGAAGTCTCGTATACACGTTTCTTAATTTGCATTTCGTTTGATTGGCAAAGCGATAAGGTACATAATAATACGTACACTCCCTTTCGTAAGTATTAGGACAGTAATTGAATGAAGCAAGCCTACAACATTGTACGATGTCATCAACTGTAGTCAATACCCATCTGTTATGAGAATTGTCGCGTCACACATACACTCTCGCTTGTAAATATTAGGGCGCTTATTGAATGTAAAGCAAACCTGCGCGGTCATTCTGAAATTATTAAGATCCTGAGAAAAAATGATTAAGTCAGGAATGGTATTGTACAACGAGTACGCAATATCCTAACAGTGTCCCGTTGATTATGCTATGCCAAACATTGAGACGAAATTGAGTTTGGAAGTGAGTTCATCGTAGATCGTTGAACTTGTCTCGATCCACAGTTTTCGTAAGGATAGAAACAATTATAGCTATCAATTGAAAAAATTTCGTGTAAAAACTTTTCCTCTTTTATTAAACGCTGGAAACTAATAGCGTGAAGACTCTGTATATTTTTATTAATATCTGAGCCACTCGGAAGGCAAAATGATTAACTCCACTTTTTCAAATTCTTCCAATTTTACTATCTAAAAACGCATACTTGGTGCTTAACTCTTTAGAAATAAAAGAAATTTGATAAATTTAATTTGGTGATATTTTTAATGATGTGAGCCACTCACCACTTTTTAAAATTCTTCCAATTTTACTATCATCTAAAAACGCATACTTGGTGCTTAACTCTTTAGAAATAAAAGAAATTTGATAAATTTAATTTGAAAATATTTTTACTGATATATGAGCCGCTCAGAAGCCAAAGCGACTATCTCCATGAAACCAAATTAATTAAATTTGGTTTATTTATGAAAAATTAAGCACGAAGCATGTGCTTCGACACAAAAATTGGAAGAATATCAAAAACTGAAGTTAATCATTTCACCTTCTAAGTGTCTCATACAACACTAACTTTGCCAAAAAATGTAATTTATATTGGATTACGGGAGGAAAATGTGTAAAAAGGAAATTGAATTTATTTTTCTAGACCGTGTTAAATGAAAACCGTGTAAAAACAGAACTGGGTGTATATCCCTTTATCGTCTGTACTAGAATTATGTGAATGTTTGCAACAGTTTCTATTGGATTACGGGAGTTATTGGTTGTTAAATAATTAATAATCCTTATTTTAAACGATAAACTTTTATTGGACACAAGGAAGGTTCTCTTTTCTACTTGATGGTAAGAGCACTGTATACGGACTGAGAATGCTCCTACGCAACGCCCTAATACTGTCTACGACCCCGCTTGGGACCGAAGGGCCTTTCGTCACGTATCATAAACATTTAGATCTTTACTAAACAGAGGTGTACAAGAACGTATACAAAAGTGAGGCGTAAGATTAATTTTTGTTATATCTAACTGACTGATAAATCTAGCAATTTAAATCCCCCAATACTTCCTGCACAAACACAACAGGTATCCCAATACTTCTAAACGGCAGCGTACCCAGGTACACGTGGAAAGGTGGCCTTATCCGATTCGGCTGGAACGCGAAGACCGTTTGGAAATTGAAAACCGGTCAAAGGAAGATTTCGCAAACGGGCTGCTCGTGACTCGTGACACGCATCGGTACGTTCGAAACGCATCACGACCGTAAAAGGTGGAACATACAGAAAAGAAAAAAGGAAAGAAGAAAAGAAAGGGTAGAAAACACGTAACAGGCGCACGCGCGCCAAATTTCGATGCAGAACCACACGGTTTTCTGTTCCTCTAGCCTTTGATGAACTGCCTTCTGTACTCTCACTTCTCTGCGTACCTACAACGCTAGAGAATATCGGATTGCCCGGCGCAACTCTATTTGTCTCGATTAAAGAATCATCGAAAACACGGAATTCCTATCACGGTGATTCCACGTGTACCAATTAATCCGGATAACACCTAGGAGAGTGACGAGCGTGGAGTAATTGTCGAGGAATCCAGCCAGTCTCTCGATTTTAATCGGTTCGAACGCGTGCACACGTTGATCGTGTTCGTCCCCGCATAAAGTCGAATATCGATTTAAACCGAACCACCCCCTCGTAGAAGTGAAATATTTCGACGAATGTGTTAATACGGAGAGCGGGCGTGTAATCGATACTAGGAGGAGAGTAGGTAATAATAGTAGTAGGAACGATGACGGCGGTGACTTTGTTGTGTTTGATATGTAACGAGGAGTTGCGTGAAGGACGAGATCTGGCTGAGAGAAAAAAATGTTGAAATGTAGATGCAGGAATCGAGATGGAATAATGGTGGAGACGAAGCAGAGAAATTCTAATGTAATTTATGAATTTTTTGCGATATCGAAGGTGAATTGAAGATCTATCATGATCCAGGAAGATCTAGCTGGGATAACAAATTTAGAAATATGGATGCACGAATCGAGATGAAGCAAAGAAGTTGTAATATAATTTATGAAATTCCACTATATTGAAGGTAAATCGAAGATCTATCATGATCCAGGAAGATCTAGCTGAGATAACAAATTTAGAAATATGGATGCACGAATCGAGATGAAGTAATGATGAAAATGAAGCAAAGAAATTGAAATATAATTTATGAAATTCCACTATATTGAAGGTAAATCGAAGATCTATCATGATCCAGGCAGATCTAGCTGAGACAAAACATTTAGAAATATGGATGCACGAATCGAAATGAAGTAATGATGCAGATGAAGCAAAGAAGTTCCAATATAATTCAGGAATTTTTTACGATATCGAAGATAAATAAGAGATCTATCATGATCCAGGTAGATCTGGCTGAGATAAAAAATCTAAAAACATAGATGCACGAATCAAGATAATATAATGATTGAGACGAAGTAAAGAAATGTTAATATGATTTATAAAGTTTTTACGATATCGAAGGTAAATCGAAGATCTATCATGATCCAGGTAAATCTAGCTGAGATAACAAAACCTAAAAATATAGATGCACGAATTAAAATGAAATAACGATGAAAAGAAAACGAAGAAATTACGAATTTCTCACTATATCGAACGCAAATCGAAGATCTATCTTGATCCAGATAGATCTGTCTGATATAAAAAAAATCTAAAAAGGTAGGTGCACGAATCGAAATGAAATAACGATGAAAAGAAAACGAAGAAATTACGAATTTCTCACGATATCGAAGATACATAAATCTAAGATCTATCGCGATCTAGGTAGATCTATCTGAGCTAAAGCTTCTAAAAAAAAAATAGATGCACGAATCAAGGTGAAATAATGACAGAGACTCGGCAAAGAAATTCTAATATAATTCGTGAAATCCCAGGGACGTAAATCGAAGATCTATCTTGCACCAGGTAAATCCATCTCAAGTAGACGAGTTCTCTCCTCGATCATAGGCACACAATCAATTTTCCTACGATCATCTCGCGATCGTATTCCTTCGAGGTTCTCCATCCAGGTCAAGCGTTTCAATCTAGCAAGAACCTGGATTACATTTATCGGTGCAATTTGCCGCGATCCTGTTTACGCTAGCGGAGTACAAATATTAAATCGCGCTACGAAACTTCCTCAAAAGTTGGCCCCCGTCCCACCTACCAAATTATTTCTCTCGCCGGCACGACTTTCGATCACGAGGGACCATTCGAACCACCAAAACTGTACCTACACATGTACAAAGCTTTTAAACGATCGTGTACATTTTATTCTATTTCTTGTAATCTATTATTTAGATTGTAATTTTTGGTTATTACTTAGAAATTATTTTTCGGTAACGCGCGCTCGGTCAATTATTGCCTAAGAAACGCATAAATTTTATTCGAATGAGTTTGTTTAACCACGGTCGCGCTCCTCGTAATCGACATAGAAAAATGCCACCTTATCGGGACACGAAGTGCAAATTTTATTCTATTTCTTTTATAAAAAGTTGACTAAAAATCCTGCACACAACGAATTTTACCTTTGTCTCGTGTTACCTTCGAACAGTCGTATTCGGTGAAAATTTCCGAATCAAAATTTTCGCAATTTTTCCACATCAAACGAAAGAAGCGCGATGGCACTTTTCGGTCAGATTTCTGTAATAACCCGCTGAAACGCTTAAAAAACTTTCGAAATTTCACCTGGAACGCGATAAAACAAAACGGAGAAAAAGAAGAAGAATACGAGCGGTATAAGCGACGTTCACGAGGAAGAGAATAATTGAACGAAGGCAACCATTCTGACCTAATTGGCACATCTTCGACCTGCAACGATCCCAGATCGTCCTTGACTCGATTAAAGCTCGCATCTATCGCGACTCCTCGCGCTCAACTTCATTGTCGTCTACTTTGCACGACCTTCGAGCATCTCCGTGTAAGGTAAAATTGTGTATTTATCGACGTCCGATCGTTCGTTATCCTTGATTTTTCCAACCGAACAATGCTTTATCCTTCGGGGGATCACCTTAAATTTGAACCGCAATCACCTTGTGTAAAAACGGGAGGAC